AAGGCAAGCTTTCATGTTCTAATTTGGGGGCCTGGATTTTGCCCCCAATCCCCACAAAATTTGGTTACCGGATTAGGCATCCTGAATAATTTCCATATGCTCTGGCCAACAAAAGATGACCAATAACAAAAGTAACAAAAGTAACAGCATGAGTAAAAAAAATCCACCATAGATCTAAATGCTAACCTTGAGTGAAAAAAAAAAAAAAAAAATAACTTCAAACAATTGAACTTATGAGCAAGTTCTTAGTAACAACTCAAGTCTACCGTGGGTAGATATTGTTAGCTTTAGTCTGTTACGTATTGCAATCAATCTCATAGTTGTAAAACCGTCTACTAGGAGATGTTTCCACACTCTTAGGAATGCTTTGTTCTCCTCTCCAACTGATGTAAGATCTCACAATCCATTCCCTTTAAGAGTTCAGCGAGACGCTGACACACCACTCGAAGCCTAGCTTTGATTTGTAACAGTCCAAGCCCACCACTAATAGATATTGTCCGTTTTCGCCCGGTATTGCCATCAGCCTCACAATTTTGAAATGTATCTATTAGAGAGAGATTTCCACACCCTTATAAGTAATGTTTTATTCTACCATCTAACTAATATGGGATCGATAAACATGGTCAAGCATCATCCGGACTAAAGATCTCTCTTCCCGGTAGTTAGTTCCCTATAAATTAAACCAAAAGGATCTTGAAAGCTACACACCGAACTTCTGGTTCCCAGCACGGTAACAGGGAATGATCCTGATCCTGCTTCTTGCTTTAGTATACTGTCAATGTTGCATGAAGCTAGTGCAAGACTAAAATTCAAACATACATAGCTGGATTGAAGAATTGGAGAATTGTAAGAACCATAGACATGGATACAACCACTAAATAACCAAGTTTCAGGTAATATTTATACCATGTGCAGCTGCAACCCCATTTGCCCCTTAACTTCTTCATCAAAACTCAGGCTATGCTATATTGACCAAAAATAAAACAGGAAACACATAAAACGAACACCTGAGAAACCACTTACAAACAAGTCATCTTAGGGAGATTGAGCAACCAGAGCATATGTCTTGTTCACTCTGCATGTAACTGCATTTGGTGGTCAGCAAGTAAATGTGTGTATATATGTGCGTAAATGAAAACCTTCAAATACAATTGCATAAGCATGTCAGCTGATGTTCATCATGCCGAACTCAAAAGGCCGATGTCCATTTCAACAAACAGTATGACTAATCAGGACGAATAATGAGATATTGAGGCAATGTAATAGCAGATCTTTTTGAATTATTACATTAGAGATTGAATTCACTAAACACCACGAAGTAATATAAGCCCTTAAGGACCCTCCTTTCATCTATTGCCAGATTAGGGCAAGAAGAACACAGAAACCAATAAACAAAAGCAGCCGCTTCAGGTAATAATCTTGCTGACCTTGACGGAGATGGTGATAGTAGCCATGGGCGTGACCATGGCTACCATGAAACATGTTAGGAAAACCATATGGAACGTTAGCACCTGCACCATACATGCTTGGATCTGCATATCCATGCATCTGAAAGTTGAATAAAGATGGGACAAGACCACCAAAAGCCGCAGACAAAGTGAAATTGCCAAACCTCGTCGATGCCATTGGGGCAAACCCGCCAAGACCTCCCATGAATCCGAACCCATTGTGGGGAAAAGGATTTGGTTCTGGGGGAGGGCCTGCTGCTTCAGGTCTCTGTCCAGCAGGACGATTAGGAATATTGATTCCAGGAATACTTTTCGATCTCGGGTCAGTCGATGTCTTTCCCCTACCATACAAGGGAACCAATTTTTGTTCTTCTATGAGAGCCTTGCAAACTGGACATTCCTGGGGATGGGAATGAATGTGCAGCCACTTATAAAGGCATGGCCAACAGAAAAGATGACCGCATAGGGTTACAATAGGATCCTGAGCTAAATCCAGGCAAATATTGCATTCAAAATTACTAGCATCACCATTGTTATCGGAATAAGAAGGGCCTTGGGGTTGCCTACTTGTCGATTCCCCAAACCCTCTCGACATATCTGCACACCCTACCTATTTAATCACATTACACCACGAAATTGAGATGAACAAGATCCACAAACTCGATCGGAACAAATCCTTCTACCAACAGAAACCAATTGGAAAATCTAAAGAGAATCAACCATCATAATAATGATCCACCAGCACAACAATACAAGTAGTACAAATATACAATATAATCTCGAATCCTAGGAAGAAGTCCCCAAACGGAGACCAAGCGAATCAAATTCAACGGAAGGAATCCAACTTTAAAAAAAAAAAAAAACTCAGAAATTAAGATACAATTACAAAAAGAATGGGAAAAATGAAACGAACCTACTGATAAACAAGAACAAAACACTCGATACCTGCGTTCCGATATCGATCAAAGAACAAATCTGAAACCGAAGACGAACGCATTTGACGGAAACCAAAAAATATACGTTTGAAATTGGAAGCTTCTCGCGGCCGTACCATAAACAATATTCACTGCTCGACTATTACACTTTCACCATGATGCTCGTCCACTTGTTCCCACGTGTCATAAGATTACTGATTATATCTTCAAACTATTAACGGCTGCAAAAGAGAGTATAGTTGTCCTATACTCGCAGTGGGATAAATATGGGGATAAAAACCAATTTTATCCTATAAAACTAAACCTATTCTCAACATTTTGTAATTAATATATTCCGTCACGTTACCAAATGAAAATTATAAAATTAATATTATTTAATTTATTTGAAAATAAAGGTTAAAAAAAATATTAGTAATACAGACAAAAAAAAAAAAAAAAAAAAAAAAAAAAAAA